AAACAGAAACACATTATTTTCCTGCCTGCTCCCCCAACACACACACACACATACAAGTTTTTCATACATGACATAATGTGTTGTATCCCCCAGAGGTTTCTCCTAGCTGCAGCCCCCACTCCTGGATTCTTTTCCAGGAATTAACATATTTCAAATGTGATAACAATTTGGTACTATTTTCATTATATAATATTTGTAAAGCCAGTATATGGGGAAAAGAAAACTAAACACAAAATGTTTACAGTCTAATTGAAAATTACGGTAAGGAGGAGAGAAGAAGCCATATCATAGTTGAAAGAACACTGCAGTAGAAATAATAGGATGGGATTTTGATTCTAGTTTTAGCAATACTTGACCTGTGCCACTTCTGGCAAGTAATACATCTGTAAAATAAAAGAATGTTTAAAAAACAAACACGTACAAAAAAGATGGAAGTAAAAGAGTATAACAAAAAAAATCAACACAAAAATTGGATGTTTTCAAAATTTTTAATGCTAAACCTAAGAAAAGATCTGCAAGATGTCTTGAAGAATAGATCTCAAGTCCTCGATTCCCCCAGATGACAGTAGGCAGCAGATGGCATACTGTTCAGTAATGACAGAAAACTGCTGACGTCCTGTTTTGTCTTTATCCTTAGTGTTACACAACTTATACAGACTCTGCAGTCTTAAAACAGAAAAAAGTTTGGGAAAATGATTAATATGAATTATATCCACTTAAAACGACCATTTCTAATTGCTTTAAATGAATCCAAGCTCCGTAAGTTATATCCTAGAGTTCTGAAAGAATTTGATGAAATAACTCATGACCTTGGACAGTCAATCTTTGAGTCAAGATGATTTGGTCGAGGTGCTATAGACAGATACAAACTTCACAAGGACAAGAACTTGTTAATATTGTTCCCTGGTATATTCACAGCTTCAAGCATAGTACCTAGCATGCATTAATGGCTTGACCAATGTCCCTGACAAAATTCCAAAATCTATTTTTTAAAGTTTGTAGACACACAGAAAAGGAAGCAGTGATGACTAGGAGGCAGCATTGGTTCATGAAGACCAACTCTGCCCATGTCAGTGTCCCAGCTATAGAGAGGAGTGAAGATCACATCAAAAGCATTTGACCAAATTTCACCCGCATAGTCCCTGTAAACAAGATGGAGAATAAGGACTAAATATCTTGCAATTACATGAATTTGTAGCTGGTTGAATGAGAGCACTATGCTGTTTAATGGGTTAGTATCCACCTGGATGGAGAACTCTGCCTTGTCAACATTTTTTTTCAGTCTTTCATGTGACAGAAAATAATTTTTATCAATTTGCCCATGACTTAAAAACTGAGAATAGCCCGTTTAAAAAAATAAAGCCCAAAACTAGTACAATAAAATTTTAAATGACAAGTAAATTTATAAAATGAGGCATGTAACTATGCAAGTTCACTGTTTACATGTGAAAGACTTTTGAGTTTTCATTTTCAAACTCCATGAGTCAAGAGTATACGATTGCCATAAAACGAAATTTATCTAACTGTACATTTGTTAAAATAATGTGAACTTATTATACATACCTTCCACTTAACCTGAATTCCTCATAATTTATATACTCCAGTCTCTTGTAGAGAGATATGGTAGCCAATGGGACTCTGAAAAGCTAATGTGACAAGACCCACGTTTGTCACTTTTCCCCAATGGCCTTTGAAAACCTAGCATAATAGCTGTTGACTGACTGTTATAGCCCACAAATCACACCAAGTGTTTTAAATGCAGTCTAATTTCATTTGTCACAACCCAGGAATATAGGTATTATTATCCTTGTCTTTAAGGTAAGGATTCTGAAGCATAATCTGACTTTTCCAGGCATATGACAGGTGCTAGGTCTTTCAATAATTCCACCACTTTCCTTACTTCGCTGTCAAGAAAATATTCTTTTCTGCCTCATTCCAGATCTACTGAACCAGTCAGTGAGAATAGGGCCCAAGAATAAAGCATCTCAGGTAACTATAATGAAAATGGCCCACAACCAGCTTTGGGAACTGCCTTAGATCATCTAAGTATCTCTGTCAATCAGGCTTCTGATAGATACTTGACAGCAGAGATTTTGAGATTCTGCTGATAGACAGTTTTATACATGGAGTACAAACTCTGGTCAAATTAGAGATCTGTTACTCACCAGAGTAACCTCTTATGAGGCACGTAACCCCGCTGAGCCTCCATTTTCCCATATGTAAAATGGTCACTGTTGCAAGCACTTAGCATCATGCCTGGCACATGATATGCACTCAGTAAATGCTACCTACTAATTTTGAAGGTGAAGGCCCAGAATACACTATATTGCCAGTTAAGGATTGCTTTATAACTCTGGCTACTACACAAGTAGGTTTGCATGCCATTATGAAGAGATTATATAACTTTCTCGTCCAAATGATGCATCTTTTGTTACACATATGAGAAAACTGTTGACATGGATAGCCTATATTTGTAGTAAATACTACTTAAAAGTATTCACCATACTTATATCTCACATTAGGTTAAAAATTCAGAATGATTTTATAAAGGTGTTAAACAGGATGTTTAAGTAAAGCAAATATTAATAAAAGTTTATCTTTAATCTCTCTTATTCTTCTGGCATCAAGATTTATAACATTTAAGCCAAAACGGTCAGCATGTAAGGCCATTTAACTTATCAAGGTGCTTTAACCTAAAAGCAATGTTTTAAACTATTATTTTAGATAGTATCTTTTCAGTTAAAAAGAAACAAATTAAGTCCTTTTTGCAGTTAATTGCCCTTTACAAAAAACTTTAGTGAAAATATCTTGCCAAGAAAAGTTTATTTCTGATTCATTATTAAGCTGGGCTCAGACAGTCCCTGAGTCACAAAGCACAGAGGTAATTACATGTTAAAATTGATTTGAGCCTCTTTATAAATAAGAAACCAATTACAGAATAAAAGTCTCATTAAAGAATATAAAAAACTTAACACTGCATGTTAATCATGTTACCACCCATAATTGTGATTCCCTTACAATGCTCATGCAAAAAGAAATCCAATTTGAATTAGTTATGAACATAAAGAGCCTACCAGGTGCACCCAGGAATAAAGAATTGCATATACCATTTGGTGTATTTTCCTTCATTTCCCCTACAACCATTAATAAAAACATGCAATTCATATTTTGGGAATGATTTTTCTGACATCAATCAGGAAAATACATCTTTATATAGTGTTTTAGAAGATTTCAAAAGGAGGCTAGATTTTATTAGAAACTCATTACTGTGAGGGAGGGGGACTATGATTTGTTTACTGGGTTATGTATAATTTGTGTTGATACGTCAGATATGCTGGGAAAACATCTGACTCTGGACTTCATTTGTACCATCAGAATACACCTCACTTAGCAACTGAATGATATGTATTCCTTATTTGATTTTTGGAATTACTTTACCAATTTAAAATACCATTATTTATCAAAATAGAACATTTGGTTTACAGTCCCTAATTAAACTTGACTGTTTGCTTGACTTTCCTTTTATTACTATATTGATTATAAAACCTTATACAACAAAGCCAAATATTTATGAGTAGCCAATACTAGCCAACCTTCCTCTAATCCTCCCAGAGACAGCCCTGAACATCAGAACATCAACTAAGTTATTCTGGGTGATGGTACTTGATAACCAATGAAGAACACTATCTCAACAGTGCTCACCTTAAGTTTTGTTTCTGTCAAAGAGTGGATATTTTCCTCTGGAAAATGTTTATTAAAAAATACAAATGAAATCCACCTCTAAACTCTGAAAGGATCCATTCCAGAAGCCCTTTGCAGAATTTATACCAATTAGCCATCATCTCTTCTTATTGAGCTTGTATCGCCTATTTTAAGCCAAGGGTCAGCACACTATGGCCTGCAGGCCAAATCCAGCCTGCCACCTGTTACTGTAAAGGAGGTTTTATTCGAACACAGACACGACTACTCATTTATGTATTATCTATGGCTGTTTTCATGCTACAACAAGAGTTGAATAGCTGCAACAGAGACCATATGGCCCTCAAAGCTTAAAATCTTTACCAAAAAAGCTTACCAACGCCTATTTTAAACACTTTCATTTAAAAAAAAAAAAAAAAAAAAAACCTTTTGTTTGAATTACAAGAATGTAAATATTTTTCTATCTTCTTCTCATTAAAAGATACACACTTTGGCCTACCCATAAGTTTATGACAATTTTTGTGGACTAGCCTGGATATTTAAACACTATTTACAACATTGTTTCTACGGATTCTTTAAAAGGTATAATCAACCAATGGTACACAGGAGTTTTACAAAACAGCCTAACTGTAGATGGAGGGATGTTATCTACTTAACTGATTTACCCAAATAATCAACCAAAGAACAGGCCTGAAATGCTCTGAGAAACCATGTTTACTTCTTTTAAAATTAGGTTTATGGAACCAGTGAGTTATGCAAAGTTGTTGACAATAAGAGCAAGCACTACCTCAATACAAACTTAAGGTTTATTTACTCACATTTATAAACAACAACAAAAAACTCCTTTAAAACTAGAAATTCCTCAATTCTTACAATTAAAAGCTAAGATGGCTTTTAAGACTATGTGGAATCAATTTTTCAGATAACATACAACTTTGTTAGCATTTTTCCTTTTCTCAACCAGATACATTTTTATTCATACTTCTCAAGTGCCAGGGAGCAACCACCAGGGCAGAATGATAAATAGAGATGGTTCAGATAACTGCAAAGCACAAGACTTACCTTCCTATGACTTTCTTAAAAAGCAGGGAAAGAAACACATGTATCCTGCACCACTGATAGTATTTGTATGCTTTATATAGTACACGAATTTCTCTTTTCAACTAGTTTTCCATAAATATTAAAATATCAGAAATTTTTCTACAAGTTCTCAAAATAATCATTAGATTTTCATACTATTTAATAGAAAAATAAAACCAAGCTACCAAACCTATGATTTAGGCAAGAAAAAAAAAAAGTTATTTTCAAGAAAATGTAGAAATATTTTAATTTACATATCATATTACAAGGAATCAATATGGAGTCAAAATCCACAATTTCATAAAAATTCTGCACATCATCCTCAAAACAGTTTCTGTACAAAGATTTACAGATATCCAATGTATGTCGTTTTTCCTCAGTGTGCTACAGAGTTTAGAGGTTCTGCTCGAATATTCCCCAAATCAAGCGCAGAATCTGTCTCTTCATCAATTTCTCCAATGACTGCACTGTAATTATTTGAGGAGAAAGACAGTCAGTTAAAACAATCTCATATCTCAACAAAACTGAGCAGACATAGTAAAAAGAAGTACTTAAGGGGAATAACAACATTTTCATGTGGTAGTGAAGTGCACATTTAAGTCACAAAACTCAAGAAGAAATAACTTGAAGGCAACATTATTATAGGAAACAATATTAAAGGACAGATTGCATATGGTGTGATTGGATCATGAGTCTTTAAAGGAAAAAGACACATACAGCATAGTATGGTACAAAAACCCAAAACTTCCAATCCTATGATTTCAACTCAATCCAGGGACTGTATTGTGGTGGGGAGGGAAAATCACAAAATCACTACTAAATAAGCAAGTGTCTATTATTTGACTAACGTCAATGAACTAAATCCATCAGTGATATATCTCTATTAGCTTTCTTTTCATGATTTCTCAGTTTACTCAATTTAATCCAAGACCAAAAAGCACAGTTCTTCATATACAAAGATAATAGCAGCAACAGGTACTTAAACATCTAACAAATGATTTTTTTTTTAAGTGAGGAAGATTGGCGCTGAGCTAACATCTGTTGCCCATCTTCCTTTTTTTGCTTGAGGAAGAGTGGCCTTACGCTAACATCTGTGCCAATCTTCCTCTATTTTGTATATGGGTCGCCACCACAGCACGGCTTGATGAGTGGTGTAGGTGCGTGCCTGGGATCTGAACCTGCGAACCCGGACCACACCAACCTTAACCACTACGCCACTGGGCCAGCCCCCTAACAAATGATTTTTTTGATATGATTGGCTAGGGTTAAAGTGAGTAAATTTTTCTTGATTAAACACTAACATAAAGTCTATAACATGACAGTCGTGAGTCACTTAACAATAGGGATACGTTCTGAGAAATGCATCATTAGGCAATTTCATCATTGTGCAAACATCATAGAGTGTACTTACACAAACCTAGGTGGTATAGCCTACTATACACTTAGGCTATATGGTACTAATTTTACGGGACCACTGTCGTATATGCGGTCCATCATTGACCAAAACATCACTATGGGGTGCATGAATGCTATTTCATTAATACCATGCTAGGTAACCAAGTCATGGCTATGGATATAATCACTGTTACATCCATACTATGGGACACGTATGAAACTTATTCCATAAAGAATTAGTTGTTTAAATTTGTTTGGTTTTAATGAGAGTAAATTCTACAAATACTTGCAATACAGAATTTGCCCAATTTTGCTTTAAATTATATAAAGCCTTCAGTTCTCTATTAAATGGCAAGTACCAAACTCTAGGAGAATATATTAAGTTTTCTCAATATAAAATAAATCAAAGATCTCAATTCTACCCTTAAAAATTTAGTATCATTTAAAATCCTCATGAAAGACAGTAAAGTGCTGGTAAACGTTTTAAAACCAGCTCTCCAACCAGCTGATCTGCAGTGTTTATTTATATCCATAACGCAAATACTCCCACTATGGCCTATTTCAAGCTACCAACAAATTATCAATCAGCTTGCAAAATTCCTGAAACTATAGGAATCTACTTTTGCGAGCCAGTACATGCTGGCTCCAGCACACCACTGGGTCTACAGCAAAGTTTTAAATTCTTTTAAATTGAAGTTGAAAAAAAACATTTCCTTGTTTTTTAAATTAAAGTAGGAGAAAGCTTCGTAAAATCAATTCTTATGCAGAGCCCCAATATAAACAACCTGTGTTGTTCTGGTCAGGGGGCCTGGGCCCTACCTGCTTTGTCGTCTTCTCATTCTTTACAGCTCATTTTATAACTTCACACCTAAAAGTCATCTCTATAGAATATTTTATAAACTCCCAATTTTGATTAAAGATCAAATAATTTATCCATCTAAAGGTGATTTTAAGATAAACAATTTAAATGAATAAAGTATTCCTTCATCATCTATATCCTACTTGTCCCCCAAAATAATCTAAGATGCTAATATCTTTTGCTGCCTTCCAGCTATGTTTTAATTCTATATAGTACTCATTAGAAATTTGATTCAATAATCTTCTAGCCTCTATAATCGCACAAATACAGTAGCTACTAGCCACATGTGACTATTAAAATTAATAACAATGAAATAAAGTTTAAAATTCAGTTCCTCAGTCACACCAGCAACTTTTCAAGTACTCAAAAGCCACATACCTGGCTAGTACCTAACACAGTGGTCAATGCAGATATACAAGACTTCCATTATCCCCCAATGTTGTATTGGACAGTATTGCTCTAACTGTTGTAGACTTTTCTTAAATTGCTACCACTAAAATATGTCTTCTTAAACTGCCATATCAGTGTGTCACAAGTTAACTGAAACTACAGTATAAACTTGGGACATCTTAAGTGTGCCAATTATACTAAAAATTTAAAAGCAAAAAATAAGTAATGGATAAGTGCTTGTTTGTAAATTCAGGTACGTCATAGAGCAATTTAAAATTGTTCACACAAGAGATTTCAAAGATATTTTCAAACTCTAGTCTTGGACTCTAGTAATATATTTAGGTTCCTCTAAAATTAGGGGTATTTTGGAAAAACATGGTAAGAAGCCTCTCTAATGAAGAATTCAGGGTAAGGCAGGGCCCTTTCTGAATCCTATCCAGGCCACTTAACTATCAGAAATATGGACAAATTTCAGTAAATAAAAACCTCTTCTCCATATAGCAAGGCAATACACCTACAGTATACTTAACTTGCCTTAAAAAAGACATATTTTACTTACACATTGTCACCTCTTACAATGTATAACCCTAGTACCACTTGTTCTACTCCCTGTGAAGAGCTGAATACTCGTTCGTGGCTTTCATCCAAAATCAAATTAATGGTCTGGTCAAAACCTTTCAGTGTTCCCTGTAAAGAAAACATTCAAGAGAAAAAGACAAATATTTATCTGAATGTGTAAATTCCACCACACAACAATTTTAGTTGCCAGGTACTCCAACAGAAATACATATTTGAAATATAAGTCCACTATAAAATAGAATACCTCTTTATAACCAACAGTATTCTTGGACACAAAACTTACCGCTTGGTATTTTAAGAGGGCGGGGGGGAAACTACACCACACATCTGACTAGTATGCAGAGCTGTTGAGAGCTACCAAGGTTACCTACGTACCAGTGTATGTGTTTCCAAGGAAAGTAGCATAAAAGCCCAAGTAGTCCAGAAGCTAACAGTCTAAAGACAAAAACTAAAACAAGTGAAATTTAAGGGAAAACTAAATATATATATACACATATAGAAAACTATATATATATAATATACAAATATATATATATAATATACAAATATATATATATATATAATATACAAATATATATATATATATATATATATGTAAGTATATAAAGGGGAACCATACATACCAGCTATAGCAATGTAACAGTATCACTTGACGCTACATACGAGTATTAGGCCCTGTGCTAAACACACTACACGTATTATCTCAACTAATCACTACCCTTTGAGGTAGATTTAACTATTCCCATTCAGAGAAGAAAAACTGATGCACAGAGAGGTTAAGTAATCTCTCAAGGTTTCACGGGTAGAAAGCAGCAGAGCTAGGATCTGAACCACAAAAGGCAAGCTTCAGAACCAGACCACTGACCTGCTCTATTATACAACAATGAACAAACTTTATACTGGTAGTAACAGCTAACCCTTAATGAGTACTTACTATTTGCCAGACAGTGTTCTATGGGCCTCAAATGTATTTACTTATTTAATCCTCAATAACCCAGTTAGGTAGATACAAATATGACTGTAATAATTAGAACCAGAACTTGAAGGAAATATTCAGAGCAAGTTGTATGGAAGAATCCTGGTTTTGAAAAAAGAAAGACATGGGCCTAGGACAACACAGAAACTCAGAGGCTATTCAAGTTTCTGAAGAAACATCAACTTATTTTGGCTTTGGTTGGTTAAATCTCTCAAGCTCAGTATTAAACTGAGTTTCAGGTTTTGGAAATCAAAATATATAAAATCAGGGGCCGGCCCGGTGGCGCAGTGGTTAAGCTCACGCACTCCACTTTGGCGGCCCAGGGTTCGCAGGTTTGAATCCCGGGCACGGACCAACACACCACTTGTCAAGCCATGCTGTGGCGGCGTCCCATATAAAGTAGAGGAAGATGGGCACAGATGTTAGCTCAGGGCCAGTCTTCCTCAGAAAAAAGAGGAGGATTGGTAACAAATGTTAGCTCAAGGTTAATCTTCCTCACCAACAAAAGAAAAAAAGCAAGGCCAACCAGCCTCAGCTTTGGAGTCAAATCCAGTTTAAATCCTAGTTTGGTTCTGCCACTTATTATCCACATGACTCTGGGAAAGTGACTCACTTTGTCTGAGGTTGGTTCCTCACCTAGAATACAGGGGTAACTCTTCTTCACAGGGTTGTACTGAAGAATACGTGATAAAACAGATGTAAAGTGCCTGGTACATGATATACACTTAATAAATGGCAAAGTCTAACACTTTGATTGGTAATAGTCACCTAAGAACCCACTGAGAAAAATCACAAGGATTAAAAGTAAACAAAAACAAAACTGCAGAATGGGAAAATAAGAAATTAAATTATATGAATTAAATACTGTTAGAAAATAGAGAGTTTCGCAGCCTTAAAACTTTTTTGAAAGCAAATAACCATATGAATTATAGATGAAGAAATAATTAAGTCACCCAAAATCATGGGATAAATTCCTCAGATCAAGGAAGAGGTTAAGGAGAGAATCCAAGATTTTTCTGGAATTAAAAGAGGATACTGTGGTAAAAGGACAAACGAGATGAAATAAATTTAGAGTTCATCATCATAATTTGTCCCGAGGTTGTCTTACAACCTAAGAATATTCAAAGAATATTAACACCACTCAAACCTTAAATGTTCATTATTCTACATATGCAGTATCTAAATCATAAAAACGTTTCTAAGATGCATACACAAAATTCCAAAAAAATTATGAGATTCATGTAGTGAATGTCAGAGCACTGAATGTGGAAGGAAATAAAAAATGGAAGAGGAAGATAAATATAAAACACAGGAACTTATCTGCAGACTAGACTAGAAGCTCTCTGAGGGCAGAATCTATTATTCATCCTAGCTCCTAGAAGCTTGTATGTAACTTACATTCAACGCTTATTAATGAAGAAAATGTGGATTGGCAGCTATTTATCAAAGAGATAGAGTTGAATCATAAGAAAACTACAATGCAGGTATACTGTGGTACCTAGGCATCCAGTTGAGAGGTTCTACACAAAAATTTACAACCAATAAGCTTAAAAGAAAGCAGAGAATGAAGATGCCAAATACGTACCACAATCATTCTCCCATCAGAAGTAATAACAGCAACAGTTCCTGATAACTGAATCAAGGAAAGCATTTCTCAGGGAATGCAAACTGACAACTTAGACTCTAGTAAGGAAATGGTATGAATTACTGGGAAAAAGGTGACAGTTAAGATACAACTATACAACAAAGCCACTACATTCACAACATAAAAACCTAAAAACTAACTTCTCCAATTCTTTATGATAATTACACAATTAAAAAAGGGAACACAGAAAAAGAAAATCCCTTTCTGTATGTGATCAGTGAATCCTGTCTCATAACAGCTGGCATGTTTGGTACTCTTACTGGGAATACTGCCCATCAGACTTTGAGCAAGACATTCCCTCCATTCTTAAACCTGTTTCTTCATCTCTAAAACCAAAAATGGGATTAGTGCTAAATTAATCAATGTTGAATGATTTCAAGCGTGTTAAAGACATTGTCTTCTAGGACCTGGCTTCTGGAATTCAAAAGAAGCTATAATCAATGTCACAAGGTACCAATATGCTTGCATCATTAAAAGCCTTTATAGTATTTCACTTCTGTCCCAAATTTGTACATGAGAGCACAATGTAGTGTTTCTGTCCTGAGACTTTAAAATGGTTAACACTTGTATAGAGTACTTGAAGACTTCACACGGGCTTTTTCAAGTTATTTGTCCCTCATGACGATCCATTACGACAGCATTATTTCCATTCTATCAACAAAGTTGAGACTTCAAGCAGTAAAGGGACAGAAATTCAATTTGTACACCAGCTTTAAAATCTCTGCTATCTTCTAACAGTGAGCAAAGCCTACGAATAAAACAAGTACATAGTTTTACAAGACCATCGTCGCCGCCAGGTCGACTGTTCATCTTACTCCCACACTTGAAGGTATAGGCCCTAGGATGAGCCAATAGCTGATTTCTAGAGAGACAGGGAAAAGCTGGGAATAATCACAGCGCCTTTTTCTGTTCAGGTTAAAATTAAAAAGAGCCTTAGGCCGCTAAGAGCAACCGGCTCCGGGTCCTTAACCCCCGCACCCGCACCCCGGGCCCCGCAGTGGCCGGGCGTCCCACCCGCCCGCCGATCCTGACCCCCGGCCTCTCCAGCACCGGCCCTCTCCAGTGCAGACGCCACGGCCCCGGCTAGCGCCCGTGGCGGCAGGCCCGAGGATACGGTTGATGTAGTTTTCCAGGGCGGACGTCATGATGCTCGGCCCGGACGCTCCGCTCCACACAACTGCGCCGGCGACAAACGAAGCTAAAACCACTTGCCGGGAACCGGCAGCTGCTCCCGCCGACTGGCGGCAGCAAATATCGCGAGAGTTACCGCATCATCGCTTCCGTGAGTCAGAGATAAAAGGAAACCGACCAGACCACGTCCCAGAGCAAAGTGGTGACGAGTCAGTGCGCGTGCGCAGTATGTTGCCACTGTTTTGCCCGGTCGGTGATCTCGGAACCCGCGAGAGACAAAAGCGAGCGGGAGGCGGAAGGAAGGAAGCAGGTTTCTGAAGGGGGGGCAGGAGGAAAAACGTGGAGGAGCAAGTTTCCTAGCGAAGTGAAAGCCAATGGGGTAGAGGTTACTAGGAGAAAATGTTGAAAAAAGTCAAGGCGGGAGAAAACGGAATAAGGTGTTTTCACCACGCGTGAAGTAGAGAGATAAGTGCTGTTCTCCTATGAAATATAGGTGCGGGGAAGTGGAATCCCTAGTTTTTCTGCTGCACAGGTCGAAAATTAATCTTTTAGAAACCAAATCGGCCAGGGCAAAGTTGCGCACGTTATGACCATACGATATGGGTCTCAGAAGAACACAACAATAAAAAGCACGTTCGCATATCCTGCATTTGCCTCTAAAGATGCGTCAACCTGGAGGCGTTGTTATTCACTTATTTAAAAAACTGAATACAAACGGGCAAAAGTGTGTGAGCCTCGTTTGGAAAACAGCCTCCCTTTTACCACGGCGCAGGTCTCCCTGTCCTCAGGGTGAAGTTAGTAAATAAAAGACAGGTCTGTTGCACTGCCCTGGGAAGGACTGATGAAGGGGGGTCTTCTAGATAAGCACCAGACAGAGTAGGTTCGAGTCCTGGCTCTGCTAAGCAATCGCGTGGCTGTCCTGGCACAAGTAACATCAACTCATCTGGGCCTCAGTTTCCTTAAATCCTGCCACAGCTATCATTTTGGATATTAACAAATGTTATTAGGTAACGTCACTCTTTTCCTTTTATTTTACTGTGGTGCCCTAACGTCAAATGACTTGAAGTTAGAAGAGCATCTATACTATACAAAATACCAGCGGGAGCTGTTTCCCCTTTTTACAAAATTTCTTTCTGATTTCAGTTAGGCTTGTAATTTCTTAACTGAAGAATTGTGGGTTTGAAGTAACTCTTGCAATGTTGGCAGTTTTCCTCTGAAAAGGGAAGCATCTGTTTTCATTACATGATACCCGCAAAATTACCTACAGATCACTTCCAAATGTTTAATATTTTATATATTGAAACTTACTCTGACCTGTTTGAAACCACATATATAATTGGGAATTAGGTGGTGAGTATCCCAGTATTTTCTGGGGGAAAAATTCAAGTATCTTCTGTAAATGAAAAAATGAAGATATTGTGTGATTTGCAAATGTGAGACACTGAACTAAAAGAAAACCAAAGTACAAATTAGTGATAAATGAGTTATCATTAGTAAGGAGTTTTAAAAAAATAGTATGCCACGTTTTAAAAATGAGTAATCCATGTAGTTTTTCATCTCTTAAAGTGTGCTTATGTTTGAAAATGTTTATATAGTAACTTACGGAACTAGTTTCATCATAAATACATTACAACTTGATGACTTTGTGTAGTTTCCATTAAATTAATATGCCAGATAAATAGCGGATATGCAGTGTTTATGAGCGTCACAAATTCTTTTACACATGTCTTGAAACTGCTATATTTTCTGTAGTCCCTAAGGATCACAGATGAGAAGAGAAAGCCTATGGATAAAGAAAAGTCCATTTAGTAAGACAAAAATGAGTTATATCTGAATGCAAACCTTATATATGTGGTTTACCTAAATTAGCCTGTGACCTTGGGACATAGAGAGGTCAACACCTCATAAAGGAAAATTAAGTTAAAGTTCCAACAGAGGAAATGATTTATATAAACAGCTGACTCTAAAAAGTTAAGAAGGTATAGCAAGACCTTCAGCTTTAATCAAGATCTCTCAAAGTGCTATCATTTAAATGATACCCTATCACTGTTAGAGTCAACCAAACTGCTGGAATGGACACTCATTTTATTCTGATAGTTCTGAATCTAAACCTTGAGCAGAAAGTACAATTTTTATATTTAGTTCATTTAAGACTGGCCTATTAGTTTATATATCTCTCGACCCAGTCATGAGCCTCCCCCTCATTAGTAATCCAGTTGCACATATCTAGAACAACCACCAAGATTCATTAAGAATACAGCAAAAAAGAGATGGAAAAGGGTAGAAAGGAGTTCCCTAGATATCTGACATGCCTGGAGTCACTTTCTATTAGTAGAAACTAATGTATATCAGTGGGTCTCTCTCTGGAAGCACTGTTGAAGAGGATCTTAGTGATCCCCCTGAGAATCAGGGCATAACTCGTCTCTCTTTGTATCCTATATTCTTTCGTTAACCTGAAGAATCAGACTCACACTAGAATCTGAGGAAACTGAATTTGCACTTTCCCATGAATGGTTCATGGAAAACAATGACAATAATAATTGTAAAATTAAAATATTAGTTCTAACCTAATATGATATGCACTTTTACTTTGATTTTTTATTGATTTATATTCCTACAAGTTTGGAAAGTGTCAACCAATTAGCAATATATGTTGAATAGATCTTTCTAGGGTTCTCCAAGGTAGAAAAGTACATAAATAAGTCATGGTCTCTCCTTACAAAGAAATTGCTGAATAAGTACGGAGCTTTAATTATAAACATGAAATAATTAGTTCATGGAAAAATAATAAATATCCCAAATTATAAAGAAAGGTAATTGATGTGGCAATATTAGTTTATTTAACACTATAAATTACAAAGTGTTTTTCATATATTATGCGTTTTTTTTCTTTTACGGTATTAAGAAACATTTTTAACTCCATTTTTTAAGAGATGTAAAAAAATCAAAGATAACTGACTTGTTAGTTGAGAAGTGGTATAGGGTCATGATTAAGAACAGACTCAGGAACTAGTCTGTCTGGCTTTGGATCTTATTGACTTTGAGTGGATTGCTTACTTCTGGCCTCAGTTTCCCCATCTGTAAAATGGAGAAAATGATAGTACTTATTTCGTTAAATTGTTGGGGGATTAAAAGTACGTCTTATAAAGGCTGGCATATGATAAACTCTCAATAATGTTAGTTATTATTGCTCAAGGACAGAGACTACATCAGAGGTAACCTTTTTTCAGTCCCAAAGCTTGTTCTACAGTATTTTGTTCCCTGCTTTTTTTTCCTGATTGGACAGATGGAGCGGTACACATTTTAAGTGCTTAAGGAAGAGGTAGATGAATACGTGTTAAAATCTTGGAAGGTTTTATAAAAAAGGTAAGACTTAAATTGGTGCTTGAGAAAAAGTACAAATGCACTTGAGGAAAATTAATCTGACATGAATTATTTAGTGGAAGTAGGAACTGAGGATAAGAAGGCTAGCGAGAATCCGGGTGTGAGTTTCTGATTTGTAGCAGTAGGAATGGAAAGGAAGAAGAGATGTGATTGAAAGATAGTGGTTAAGAAAGGCGGTGGGAGCTGGCCCCATGGCATAGTGGTTAAGCTCAGCATGCTCCACTCTGGCAGCCTGGATTCACTGGTTTGGATCCCACGTGCAGACCTACACCACTCACTAGCCATGCTAAGGCGGCGACCCACATACAAAATAGAGGAAGATTGGCACAGATGTTAGCTCGGGGCTGATCTTCCTCAAGCAAAAAAAAAAGAGAAAGATTGGCAACAGATGTTTGCTCAGGGTGAATCTTCCTCACTAAAAAAAAAAAGAAGAAGAAAGGCAGTGGGGCAGACAGCAGATCATGGGCAGCATAGTGATAGTGTTGGTGAAATGGAAGGATGGCAAGACTAGGGAAACCCAGGAAAAGACAAGACTGCTTGTTAATAAAGTAGATGGGGACAATCTGTAGACCTGTGTACATGACACATGTTGCTCACCAGCCAGTGGTGAGGCCATGTAACGTACTGGTTGTACTTACAATGGCATACACTTTATCTTAAAGGTCTGGACAACCAGTCTATCTCAGGAGGCCCACTGTTTCAGTATATGAAGGATGGTGCATGTTAATAAAATACTTATAAATACTTTCATGCATTCTTTACATTTGCGTTTTGGAAACCCAAAACAGTAATATAAACATTTTGGCTACAATGTGATATGTACATTCCTGAAAATCATCACATTCAGAAAAATGGCTCACTTAAAATAACAGAGATTAAGGAAAAAATAGGTCTGGGAAAGACTACTCAAAACCTGAACAACTGACCTAGAGCAGTGGTTCCCAAACTTTGGTGCTCGTTAAAATCACCTAGGGATCTTTGAAAACTACTGATGTCCTGGCTCCCACCCCCAGATATTCTGAGTTAAAGGGTATGAGGGTAGAGGCTGGGCATCAGGATTGTAAAAGCTCCCCGGGTGACAGTAACGTGAGGCAAGGTTTGGGAACCACTGAACTGCAGCATTGACAGACGCAATAACAATCCAAATGAAGATAGCACCTTTAACAGAACATGTAAAATTCCTAACAAATAAAAAAATGCTATAGTAACTTACAGAGCTTTACCTTTTAAAAAAAGTTGAAAGTAGCTTAAAAAATGACAGTTTATGGAAGAGTTGACTCTGCTGAGTGATGGAAACAAGGGCAGGAGAACATCGTCAGAAGTTGCAGCCGGAGAAGCAATTGCAAACTTTGTGCAAAATGCAGAGATGCCAGGGATAGATGGCTTTGATTCATTGTCTGATGTTGCTTTTGCACAAAGATCTAAGAGAACTGCAAAATAAGCACTATGAAAATGGAGTGCACGGCTGAGCTAAGCAAAAGGAAGAATGGGACGCCACATGGTGAAAGGATGTCATTTGTGTATTGTATTCCTCCAGGCCTGCTGTGATCATGCAATCAACTTTGTTACTTGTACTTGACATTCAACTGTTGTTTCTTGGTAGCGGAAGACACTAAAGTGCTGGGAAAAATTAAGTATGAACCAACCCAACTTCCACATTATTCTAACATTACTCCCACATTTAA